TAGTAGTAGTAGTAGTAGTAGTTAGTAGTAGTAGTAGTAGTAGTAGTAGTAGTAGTAGTAGTAGTAGTAGTAGTAGTCGTAGTCGTAGTAGTCGTAGTAGTAGTCGTAGTCGTAGTAGTAGTAGTAGTAGTAGTAGTAGTAGTAGTAGTAGTAGTAGTAGTGGTAGAGCCGTCGTCGTCGTAGTAGTAGTAGTAGTAATAGTAGTAGTAGTATAGTTAGTAGTAGTAGTAGTAGTAGTAGTAGAGAGCAGTGGTAGCGGGTAGTGGTCTTGGTAGGGGTAGTGGTAGTGGTAGTGGTAGTAGTAGTAGTAGTAGTAGTAGTAGTAGTAGTAGCTGGAGCAGTAGCAGTAGTAGTAGTAGTCGTCGTCGTCGTAGTAGTAGTAGTAGTAGTAGCAGTAGGAGTAGCATCAGTAGTCGTAGTGGTAGCGGTAGTGGTAGTGGTAGTGGTATTGGTAGTGGTAGTGATAGTAGTAGGAGTAGTAGTAGCAGTAGTAGTAGTAGTAGTAGTAGTAGTAGTAGTAGTAGTAATAGTAGTAGTAGTAGTAGTAGTAGTAGTAGTAGTAGTAGTATTAGTAGTTGTCGTAGTTGTAGTAGTAGTAGTAGCAGTAGTAGTAGTAGTAGTAGTAGTAGTAGTCGTCATCATCGTCGTCGTCGTCGTAGTATTAGTAGTAGCAGTCGTAGTAGTAGTAGCAGCAGCAGCAGCAGTAGTAGTAGTAGTAGTAGTAGTAGTAGTAGTGATAACAGTAGGTCGTGGTCGTGGTCGTGGTCGTGGCCATGGTCGTGGTCGTGGTCGTGGTCGTGGTCGTAGTAGTCGTAAGTTTCGTCTGTCCATTCTCATTTGTCGTCTTTATCGCAGAAGTGCAAGCAATGGTCTCGGTGTCGTAAACGCAGCAGGTGTACCGAAGGGACTCGTAGATGGGAGACTGGCAGGATAAGGAAGGGGGGGAGGAGAAGGTGGAACCCGTAGCCGTACGGGCGCGCTCCGCGACGACAACGTCGACCACGGCGACGGGTGTTGACCCGCCACGGGCCGACGACGACGTCAGGCATGATCTTCCGTCTCCAGAGGTCTCCAGCGGCTACCGGACACCTGAAACATGTGCCCTAGACTCAGCAGAACAAATCTCTACTAATCTCGAACCTCGATCCTCGAAGTTCGATCGACGATCGACGAGGACCTTCCGCGTCGACCATGAGAATTACGACCTCGATCCCCGAGCCTCCAACCCCAACCGTTGATCCTCCATCGATCAATGGGGGTGCGCCTTCCGCGACGACGACCACGACGACCACGAAGCCGACGACGATGGCCGTCGTCCCGTCAGGGGCCGCAACGGCTTGTGGAGGTCTCCAGAAGCCCCTGGAGGACCCTGGGGTTCACGGGAGGTCCCTGGAGGCCCCCGCAGGCCCCCGGAGGCCGGAGTCCAGCGGTCCTGGAGCCCCGAGCTTCGAGCCTCAATCGACGTCTGCGCCGCCAGGGGCCGCGCGCTCCGCGGCTTCGCCGCCGCCGCCGCGGCCCCGCAGCGGCGGGCCCCGCGGCCCCCGCTCGCGGGCGGCGCCCCTGCTGCGGAGGGCGCTGCCGCGGCGGAGCAGGCGCTGCGGCGGCGGCGAATGCGGCGGATGCGGCCGGCAGCGCACAGGGGCCGCACGTGCCAGGCCCGGTGTGACGCGCGGCGGCTGCCGGCGGAGCAGGCGCGGCGGGCGGCGGCTGGCGGCAGCGGCGGCGGCGGCGGAGAGACGGGGCGCGGTCGGCGGCGGCGGCGCGTGCGGAGAGGCGCTGCGGCTGCTGCGGCGGCACGGTAGCACGGCGGCTGCGGCGGCGGTAGCGGCGGCGGCGGCGTCGGCGGGGGCAGCGACGGGGCGCGGCGGCGGCGGCGGTGGCGGCGCGGCGGAGCAGCGGCGGCGGCGGCGGCGGCGCATGATGATGATGATGATGATGATGATGATGATGATGATGATGATGATGATGATGATGATGATGATGATGTTGATGATGATGATAAGGATGATGGTGATGATGATTATAATGCCGATGATGATGCCTATGATGTTGATGATGCTGATGCTGGTGATGATGCTGATGATGATGCTGCTGATGATGATGGTGATGCTGTTGATGCTGATGACGCTGGTGGTGGTTATGCTTATGGTGATCGTGACGATGCTGATGGTGATGATGATGTTGATGGTGATGGTGATGTTTGTCATAGTGCTGGTGATGGCGATGATGATGGTGATGATGGTGATGATGATGATTCTGCTGCTTGTGATGATTATGGTGGTGATGCTGGTGGTGCTTGTGTGTGGTGATGCAGATGGTGATTATGATGATGCTGGTGATGTGATGATGATGATGGTTATTATAATGATGATCATGATTCTGGTGATGCTGTTGATGATGATGGTGTTGACCGTGATGATGCTGATGGTGATGATTGAAGAGGATGGTGATGGTGACGATACAGATGATGATGCTGATTATGGTCTCGGTGATGGTGATGGCGATGGTGCCGATGATGGTGATGATGACGATGATGAGGATGATGATGCGAATGATGATTGTGATGATGATGCTGATGATGATGCTGTTGATGGTTATGGTGCTGCTGCTGATGATGATGGTGGTGGTGATGATGATGATGATGATGATGCTGATGGTGATGGTGGTGGTGATGATGTTGGTGACGATGGAGGTGATGATGATGCTGATGATTCGTTTTGAGGCGGCTGGAATCGAAACTGGAGCTCACGAGTGAGGAAGCAGGCGACACAGCGCGGGGCTGGCAGTGTGCGCTGGCTCGGTGAGCAAACGCAGGCTGGACGGAAAAAAAACACTGCGTGGGTGGAAAACCTCCTCTTCCCAAGTCGGGCAAGTGACAGATGTGAAGTGAACCCAGCCGTGCACAGAGGAGCACGCGAGGCCCGATTCTGGCAAGAGCTAGGAGCGCCAGCCGAGGGCGCTGCGTATGGAGGCGCCCGAAGGAGGCGCTCGGGGGAATATGAGACGGCCACGCCCCAGGCAGGCAGGTCCACGATCGTTCAGATAATCGCCAAACTTCCCGCGGCGTCCAATCGCGGCCGCGCTGCGCGGGCCGAATCACGCACGCGCGCTCTGTGCCCGCCGCGCCCTGCGGCAGATGCGCATGCTCCTACAGGGGGCGCACCCACTTAGAGCCAATCTGCACGGGCAGGGAAGTTTGATGCTGGTGATGATGCTGATGATGATGGTTATGATGAAGAAGAAGAAGAAAGTGATGATAATGATGGTGGTGGCGGTGGTGGTCGTGGTGGCGATGGTGGTGGTGGTGCTGGTGGTGATGACGATGATGATGATGATGATGATGATGATGATGATGATGATGATGATGATGGAATTGGTGGTGTTGATGATGGTGGTGGTGGCAGTGGTTGTGGCGATGATTGTGATGAAAATGGTGATGATTATGGTGATACTGGTGATGATGATGACGGTGATGGTGATGATGATGGTGGTGATGACGACGACGAGGAGGATGATGGGGAGGAGGAGGAGGAGCAGGAGGGAAACGCACGAGGACCAGAGTAAGCCCACGATCATCCCATGATGTCCTTTTCACTACCAGAAGCGCCCCCTTGACAGACCAGCTCCTTATGGCTCTGGCATTCAGGCCCGAGCCTCGTTTGGGCAAGAAAAAGATTTTTGTATTTGTAGCCCACGCAGCTGCGTGCAACGAAGCATGATCATGTAGGTCGACGGGGTGTTCAGCGATACCTACGCTTGGACAAGGGACCACCCCCATCCGTGCAGCCTTTCGCGCGCACGTTTGCACTTCCGAGCCTGGCCGCCGAGGACCTCTCGAGCGGAGACCCCATTGTGAACAGGAGCCGCCCCCCCATCCGTGCACCGTTACATTTTGTATATTCAGGCTTCTGGTCTTCACGCTGGCTCACGCGACAGCCCCACGTTGAAACTGAGCCGACCCCAATTCTCGTAATTTCTGCACGCTTCTGAGACGAATGCGCACGGCGCTGAGGTGAGAACAGCGTTTTGAACACCACCCGCCCTTCATCCCTGTAATCGCTGCAAGCTTGTAAAGCCAATGTGTGCGGCGCAGAGGCCAGAGCCCCGTTTTGAAAGCCGCCCGCCCCCCATCCTCGTAGCGGTTGTAACGTTTTCGCGTTAATGTGCGTGGTGCTCATCGCTAGTACGAGAAGGTCATTTTGAATACCACTCGCCTTCAATCCATTTAGCTGCGGCGACAAGGCGAGACTATAACTTTGAAATCGGCCCCGCCCTCCATCCCTGAGCCTGTTGCAAAGACGTGCGCCGCGCTAGTGCGAGAGCCCCACTTTGAAGAGGAGCCGCCAATCATCCGCGTAACTGTTGCAATTCTTGGGGCGAGTGCTCGCGGCGCTAGGGCGAGAGGCTCATTATGAAAACGGCCCGCGCTCCATCCTTGAACATCTTGCACGAACTTTTAGGATGAATTTGCGCGGCGCTATGGCGATAGGTCCATACTGAAAACGACCCCCTTCATCCTTGACGCTGTTGCGAACTCTGAGAACGAATGAGCGTGACGCTAAGGCGGGAGCCCCAGTTTGAACATGTCCTGCAGAAGAGGAGGGGGAGGAGGGGGAGGAGCAGGAGGAGGAGGAGGAGGAGGAGGAGGAGGAGGAGGAGGAGGGGCAGGAGGAGAAGGAGGAGGAGGAGGAAGGAGGAGGAGGAGGGGAGGAGGAGGAGGAGGAGGAGGAGGAGGAGGGGAGGCAGGAGAAGGAGCAGCAGCAGCTGCAGGAGGAGGATCAGGAGGAGCAGAGGAGAGGAGGAGGAGGAGGAGGAGGAGGAGGAGGAGGAGGAGGAGGGGAAGGAGGAGGAGGAGGTGAATCAGGAGGAGGTTGAGGAGGAGGAGGAGGATGAGGTGGAGGATTAGGAGGAAATTGAGGAGGAGGAGGAGGAGGAGGAGGAGGAGGAGGAGGAGGAGGAGAAGAAAAAGAACCTGAGCCCTTGATTCGGCCAGCCGGCAGGGCACCGCGGCGGCGACGCCATTCCTGGACTTCGCGTGGAGCGCGCGCTCGGACGTCGCCGCGCTCGTCGCGCAGCAGGACGCCGCCCGCGGGGGCCCAGCGCTCCCTGCAGCGACCACGACGTCGTCGTCGGCGACGACGACGCAGACGCGAGGGAGATCAGCGCCGCCTGCGGCGACAACGACGACGGCGGCGGCGGCGGCGGCGGCGGCGACGGCATCATCGGCGGCGACGGCGGCAGCGGACGATAGCTCCTGAGATGCTGGCGCTGAATTCCCTCACGCCGGGCGATTTTGCCCTATTTCGGTCTCCGGGACCCACACGGACCGATCCGGCTCGAAAAAATGCCGCAAGAAGATGGAATCCAGGGCTCCGCTCGATGTTTTTGTTACGGTGTTGCCTTTTTCGTTCGTATCATCGGATCTCAGGGACCAGCGACGACGACGGCGACGACGACGACGATGACGTGGTGACGCCGATGCCGTGGCTTCGAAAGGACCAGTTGCGACACTGGCGGTCCTCCCTCCCCCTTGCCCCCCTCGCCTCCTTGTTCCCTCCTCTCTCATCGCTCGTCCCTCGTCCCTCGGTCCTCCCCGTCCCTCTCTCCTCCCCCCTCGTCCTTCTATAATCCCTTCCTCTTCCTCTCTCTGTGCGCAGACGCAAGGTGCTACTATAGAGCCCCTTCGAAAACCACGTCATTGAAATCATGCTGAGTCTGCCTCCCCTCCACCTCCTTCGTTTCCTCCCCCGTTTCATCCCCTGTTTCCTCCTCCTCCTCCTCTTCCTCCTCCTCCTCCTGCTCCTCCTCCTCCCCCTCCTCCTCCCCTTCCCATACCAGGAGGGGGAGACCTGGGCGCGGAAGCTGCGCGACCTGGCCTCGCTCTCGCTGGACCTCTGGCCTCCGGGGACGCCGCACTGGCGCGTGGCGAGCTCCGTCGTCGTGCCCCCGCTGGTCACGAGGCGGAGGAGAGGGATGACTGAGGAGGAGGAGGAGGAGGAGGAGGAGGAGGAGGAGGAGGAGGAGGAGGAGGAGGAGGAGGAGGGGCAGGAGGAGAAGGAGGAGCAGGAGGAGGAGGAGGAGGAGGAGGAGGAGGAGGAGGAGGAGGAGGAGGAGGAGGAAGACCAGCAGCAGAAGTAGGAAGAGCTGGGCGGTCGAGGGGATATTCTCAGGAGGAGGGGGAGGAGAAGGAGGGGAGAGGAGGAGGAGGAGGAGGAGGAGGAGGAGGAGGAGGAGGGGCAGGAGGAGGAAGGAGGAGGAGGAGAGGAGGCGGAGGAGGAGGAAGAGAGGAGGAGGAGGAGGAGAGGAGGAGGAGGAGGCGGAGGAGGGAGGAGGAGGGAGGAGGAGGAGAGAGGAGGAGGAGGAGGAGGAGAGGGAGGGAGAGGAAAGCGGAGGAGCGGGAGGAGGAGGAGGATCAGCAGGAGAAGTAGTAGGAGGAGGATAAGGATGAGGAGGAGGAGGAGGAGGAGGAGGAGGAGGAGGAGGAGGAGGAGGAGAAGGAGTTGGTGGAGGAGTTGGAGGAGGTGGATGTGGACGACGACGACGACGACAACCTCCTCGAGCCCGGTCGCGGCGGGGCAGGTCGGCGCGGGCCCGTCCGGCGCCTCCAAAGACCTCGCCGCCGCCATCTCCGTGTCGGGGGCGCCCGGCCCCGCCGCCGAGGGCAGGGGCGAGCGGCGAGGCCGCTCCGAGCGACGGCGACGGCGACGTCGGCGGCAGCGGCGGCGACGACGACGACGACGGCGACGGCGGCGACGGCGTCGACGACGGCGAAGACGGCGACGACGACGACGACGACGGCCACGACAACGGCGACGCTGTCGACGACGGCGACGACGGCGAAGACGGCGACGACGACGGCGACGGCGGCGACGACGGCGACGGCGGCGACGGCCCCGACGACGACGACGAGGGCGGCGACGACGGCGACGGCGGCGACGACGAGGACGGCGGCGGCGATGGCGGCGTCGACGGCGACGGCGCGGGACCCCGCCGCTGCCGCGGAGCGCGCGCGCGCCGCGTGCGCCCGTGGCGCGCCAGGCGCGCTCAGCGGTGGTTCCCCCGGCCTCCGTGAATCTGCACGGACGAAATGGGCACGGGAAGAATGGGTACGATGCCCAACAGCGGATCCTTTTCATTTTGAACAGGGCTCGCTGTCCGCGCCGCCGCGACCTGTGTCCGTTCGAGACAGGGGGCCGCCTGCCCAACAGCGGCCGCTGTTGGTTTGGGACAACATTTGCTGTTGGGCATTGTACCCACTCTTTCCGTACCCATGTCGGGCGTCCAAAGTGAAAACACCTCAGAGAAATTTGCTTGAACTCGCAGTGTGCTCCGGCAGGCCTTTTCTCAGCGTTCCCCAGTACGCGTGCCCAGAAGCTCTCCAGAAGGTCCTGCAGAAGCGCTCTCCAAGGCCTTCCAGAATTCTTCGAAGTAGCCTGTCCACGCCCTTCGGGCGCCCTGCTATTCGCGTTTTCGATCCCACAAGTTAGAGGAACATGCGAAGACCGACTCGTTCAGAGGGCACCCTTGAAGCACCCCACCCATCATCCAATACGCATGATGAAAGGCACCGCCGACGGCCAGCCAGCACAGGTTCACCACGTAGAACTGGCCGACGACTGTGAGCAACCCAGCAGGGAGGCGATGGAACCGAACGCACAACATGGCCATCGGTTGCCTGACGTTGGGGACGGCCTGCGCGAAGTCGAACGCCAGCGTGCTACGCATCCGCGCCTCGGGAGGCCCACGCCACGACGCAGGCGGGCTGCGCACACAGGCGCTGGCAGCACGAGCATAGGAGTCCAGGTCAACGATGTGCTCGATGAAATTGCGGCCACGCACGAAGCCGTTCTGCACAGGCGCTGCGGCTGCGGATTCTTAGTCTGAAGCCCTCTTCGCTCTCGGCGAGCTGTCTGGGGATTTCTTTTACGTCGACGTGATGAGCAGCATCCAGAGGAAAGGCCGTTGTATGGTCTTCGCGTGTGCTGATGGTGTCGTAGCCATCTTGCGCGACGTTGACGCTTTCTGAGTAGCCAAGCGGATCTTCAGCCTCGCATCCCGCTTGGCGGCGCTGGCCCTCAAGCCTTCCAAGCGCTTGGTCATCCCGCTGTTCGACCCTCTCTCGGACGACGTCGAGTGCGAGATGGCGGGCTTCCTTGCCCCGTTCGGATGAGAGGGGTTCTCGGTGGCGCCGCGGTTCACGTACCTGGGTTGCGAGGTGGGCCCCGCCGCCACCATCGACATTCAGCGGCGTGCTCCGTGTGTGAGCGAGTGAGAACGTACGTGAGATCATCTGCTGATTCTTTTTTCGGCCTTCCCTTTCAATCGTGAGCGGCGCCTGCCCATGTTGTTTTATAGCATGCAGATGTTTGAGTTCCCAGGCTGACCGGGCGGTTTCTTTTCGCTTCGACGTGGCGGACCTCAGGGAGCCCGGCGTCCTGCCCCGCCTGGCTCGGGTCGAAGGTCAGCAGCAGGGCCCTCGGGGTGTGCTGCGTGGATGCGCAGCGCGCAATGCACACAATCGCAGCTGGGCAGCGTGGCCTGCAGATGCTGCGCACCGCGGTCGAAGCCGATTGGGTGTCTCTCCTCGCTCCTTCCCTTCGAGATCCTCCCCTCCGTGGCGGTCCTCGGCTCCGATCGCTCTCGGCTTCGAGTTCGCCGCCAGAGGGTTCCTTGGATCCGACTCGCAGCTCCCCGGGATTCGGTGCCTCAGTGGCTTTAGGAGCCCCGTGGAGTAGCGGAAGCCGAGGTGGCAATGCAAGTTTCTCTCCATCTTTGGCCGCCCTCTTCCCAGAGGTGGTTTCAGAAGTCAGGCTCCAGAAGTGGTTCCCAGGCCCTCAGATTGTGGCGGGGGTGGAGTGGGGAGGGGGGTCGGAAAAATCTGAATGAGATCCCTAAGGCTGTGGCGTCCGCGGCCATTAAAATGGCTCGGCGGATGGGCAATTCACCATCCTATGCAGCGCTCTGGTAAGTCCTGCGTCTTTGGGTTGGGGGGCCCGACCACCTGGAGCACTATGTGCTCCAGTGCTCACGCTCTGGATCGATCGTGCACGGAGCTCTCGGCCTTATCGTCTCTGCGGATCCTTCGGTGCGTCTGGGCGTCTCCCCAAGTCGGGTGCACGAGCCGCGCCATCTGCAAGTCGTGGCGGCCTATTTCCACGCTCATCGTACCGTTGCTCATCGAGAGCCTTCTCGTCTGGTTGACATCGCTGTCACTGCTGATGTGCACGCCGCTCTGAAGCTCGCCCGGTCGGACGGCTATGGCCATCCGAGCGGCTGAGATTTGCGGCGTGCACGAGGACCGCCCCTTGGGCCACGCTCCGCCTCCTCTTTCTCCGCCGCTTTCTCCTCCAACGTGCGCAGCTCCCCTCTGCGTGCTTGCGCAGGGCACGATAGGGGGTCCTTTTGGAGGTTCCGCCTCCGCTGTGACACCCGCCGGCGGGCGGAGCACACTGCCTACGCGAGGGGAGGGGATGGGTGGGAGGGGAAGGCTGTCAGGTATGGCGCCTGCGCGTTCTGCTTGCCCCCCCCCCTCCCCTCGCAGGGGCAACGAAAGGGGGGGGGATACGCACCGGGAGGGACGTCTCGACCCCCAATCGCCCACTGATCGCCAGTAGGGGCCCGGTGGCCCCAACCCGCACAGGAGGGTGCGGATTTACTACCGGGGGCCTGTCGCCGATTCATCGGCGATGAATCGCCGATTCCAGGTCGATGCATCCACCCCTATGCCCACCCCCCCTATCGTTGCCCCTCAATCGTCGGATGTCTGGGACGCCAACGACGACGAGGGAGGAGAGGACGACAGCGAGGGTTGAGTCGGGCGTGTCCCTCTGCAGGAGGAGTATCCAAAAGTAGACCAAACATAGTCTGGGGACGACCCTTGCTCCCACTATCGTTGCCCCTCCCCTTGCTCCCCTCGTCCTCCGCGCGCCCGCAGGGCTGAACCCCTCCGACCGCGCCTCGTGCCTGCGGATGCTCGCCGCGCTGCGCTCGGACCCGCACGCAGGCCGCCGCCTCGGCCGCCGCCCCCACCGCGCCCGCGGGTCCAGGCCCTCCTGCGGGCAAGGGTGCTGCTGGAGGAGGAGGAGGAGGAGGAGGACTGGCTGGCTGGCTGGGCGCTCGGCGGGGACCTGGTGTGGCCAGGGCGCATGCTTCACACCACACATTCACAGCAACCCGTCAGTGATCCCACTGTACACGTCAGGGATCTGGGAAACTCATACCGCTCTTCGGCGGAAGGCCTCGCCTAAGGCGAGACAGCACGCTGGCTCCTGCCTTCGTCGGAGTGCGACTTGGTGGGCACTCCTCTCCGAGGAGCTGGGAGTTCTGTACCATGAACCTCCCGCAGACTCGGCCAAACAGGACACCACGCAGGACCGCGAGGTCGTGGGACGAGTGCGCACGGGGAGCCCCAGGGTGCGAGATCGCGGCCTCACGCTCAGACCCGCACGTTATCTGTCGCGCCCCCACACACCGACCAGGGAAGAACTCGGAAACCTTTCCCCTCACGGCCTCAAAAACGCGGCCACAGACAATGCATTTATATCCTGAATTCACAAGCTTGACACTGTGCCCAGCCGCCTCGAGTCTACTTCTGCGAGTGGCGAGAGAAGGGGGAGCCCTCGGCAGAGGAGGAGGACGCCCGACTCTGTCTGACACGAGGCGGCGGCACGTTAAATTAACTTCACGATTAACATCCAGCAGACGCGACAAGACCTTCCCAGTCATGTCATCTACTTCATTCAGGACATTCACATGGTCCTGTGGGACCTCTCCTAAGGCGGCAGCCTCCCCAGCAAAAAAGTCAGCAACACAATTCAGGAAAAACTCGACCCTAGAGATGCCCCAAACCTCACGAGTCCCCGCCGTGGAGTGGGCCTTGGTCCACAACACCTCCACAGAGCCTTCACGAGCATCCAGGAGCGTCCAGAGCTGGTCCCAGAGGTCGAGCGTAGGCGACGTAGCGGAGATATGAGACCTGTCCCTACGAAGACCACGCACCAAAGGCAGATAATCAGAGTAAGCCACAATATCTCCCACAGTATGTCTCAGCAGCATAATCATAGCATACATTTCGGCCCTGGGGCTCGACTGAGCCGCGGTGGGAAGGGTGCCCATGAGGATGGCGTCACAGGCCAGGTCCAAGCTCTGGAGGCTGTCCTCATCGAAACGAACCACAGACCACCCACAGCGCCTGAGCCTCCAATCCGAAGCGTAAATACCCCCAGAGCCATCCAAACCGTAACGACCTCCACGCACCACCTGGTCCCCCACGAAGAGGCCCCAAGACTTCACAATCTCGACGGGCGGCGGAATGGGCGCGACAGCGGCAGCCAAGGGCGGGAGCCCACGAGTCCAGAACGCACTCCTGACATGTTCGGGCTGGTTCGCCATCTCGACAAGGTCCAGAGAGCGATGCATCGCGATGCTGACGATCGATGCATTGGCCGAGAATTCCCAGCAGCGGTGGAGGCTAGTTTCCCGAGCGGCCCCACGCCTAGGACAGATGCCGTCTGTTTGGTACCCCGCATCTTGAAGCCGAGCTTCGGGCCAGGTACCTGCCGTAACAATGCACACGAGCAACGCGGCATCAGCGTACTGTTCATTCTTGATCATCTTAGCATGCATTCTACGGAGCACCGTGACATCAGCACCTCCATCCAACCCTTCTCCACAAAAATGCTGAGCCGCTTTGCTAGCATGTCCCCGAGAAACAGACTGCCGCACAGCAGCACGGAGATGAAACATGAAGTCGCGCGCCTCCAAGCAGAGCACTCCGCAAGGCGTGCCCCACTGTGTGGGAGAAGTGGGCGACCAATCCAAATCGAGCAGGGTGCAGATCGCGGCCGCGATGGGGCCAGCCACCGTGCGCCAGCGGCGCTGAGGCGGGGGAGCAACGAGCCGTGCCCGATGGTGCTCCCACGCCTTGCGCACCCCTTGCCGTTGCCCAGGGGACAAGGCATGCCATACGCCAGCAATAGCGGATAACTGTTCAGTACGCAGCCGATATTCAGGATCCTGACTCAGGGGGTTCATCAGGCTGAGGACGGTCGAGGTACATGCACCTTGACTCCAGTATCCTGAACACTTAGCGGCCTGCGATCGGAAACTCTGCAGATCGGACACGGTCAAACCTATCACAGAATGACCCCACGATCCGACGCTGAGCACACCAGGCTGAAAGATCTTGCGGGATCGACCGCACAGGCGAGCGAGATAGGCCAGCTTACGAGAGCGCTTGAAAGCCGTCCGCTGGCGCAGCTTGATCTTCCATGCACATCTCCTCCTCCCCGCCGTGGTCATGACCCCCAGATCCTTCACCTGCCCTTTGAATGAGATAGAGACCCCCAATTCATCAAACTTAGCAGACAACTCTTTGGCCAGATCATAGGACGATGCAACTGCAGCAGACTTAGGCGAGATTCAACAGCCAAGTGCGCCCACATCTCGGCAGAACCCGGCGGCTGCAGCAGGCAGTGCAGAGACAATATATTTGCGCGTACCTTGCATGTACTGTGTAATATCATCAATGTATGAACGAATCGGCACCACTGGGAGACGACAATGTGCACGCTCGAGCACTCCATGCAGATACGTCTTGACCCATGGAACCGACTGCGAACATCCAGCGAGAATAGACCTGCCCGTGCCAATGACCTGCGAGACGACCCCTTCCACCTCGAGCATTCTAGGGCTAGTGTGCACAAGCATGCCGAAGTAGAGGAGGTGAGGAGGATAGTCAACCTTCAGAGCCAGCTGCACCAAGAGGGCGGGCACAACAGAGTCAAAAAACTTCTCCATGTCCCAATGCAGAGAGGCCGAGTCAAACTTCAAAGCACCTGCAACTTCGTGGCACACTTCGCGCAGAAGCGCTGCTTGCAACGCTGAGGACTTACGCACTGCACTGTCCCAGATGTCCGTGTGCTCGGCCGTCCATTCATGGATGTGATCACCACGCATACGTGCATACATGCGGTACATAGCGGAACACTTGCTGATTGCGCGCTCGTCGTGCACAGACTTGGGAAGCAACGCCATGATATTCAAGAAACACTGCTGCGGAAACGTCAAGGCCTGCTCGCACATATTGAACAGGGCTGCCAGACACTGGACCGCTTGCCACGGTAACTGCAGGAAAGCCCTGGGGGGCCACTGGTCGACGCCTACAGCTGTGCCACTAGCAAAACATGTCGCCGCCTGCAGGACGTCCCGAGGCTCAAACTCTGGCAACTCCAGAAGGAAAGTCTGGGCAAGGGACCTGAGCTCACCGAGGGTATCATTGAGAACCTGCAAATGCTCCTTCGTGGGGGTCCACCAGCGAGCCCAGAAATCATGCCTATACTTCATCATGTCGTTCGGGGTTTGTCGGATGCCGTCAGGCGCGACCAGGTACTCCACCGCCACCTTATCATCACTTTTCAACCAGTTATGAACCTTCCTCGCTCCTCCAGGTAACGCATCCTTCAACCACTTCCTGATGCCAGCAGAGTTAGAGACCTTAACCTTGCCCCAGGCGAGCTTACATACGCCGGCGGCCTCATCCACCAAACGATGCACGAGATCAGGCGAGTCGGGGAGCCTGGTGAGGTCGGCCATCCATTCGCTAGCATCAGCAGGGGAACAGAGAGGCTCAATATTCAGGTGAACGTAGTTAGCCTGCCGGTCGAGAAAAGAGGCCAAACGCCGAGCCTGCGCCAAGGTAGCCTTCCCACTGAGAGCTTTCCACAGTCCGAACAGCCGAGAGTACACCATGGACCAGAAACAGAGGTGCGGAACATTGAAGGCCTGCTTGTTGGGCCCACGCCTCCGAATCGTGCCCGAAAGCCTGGAGACAGCGCAACCCCGTCCCAGGAGTCGCTCAGGTTCGTCAACCAACGCACATCCCCGAGACAGGAAAATCATGTCCGAGGTTCTCGACCACAAGGCGTAGTCCTCCGAAAGCCCGTCCGAAACATGCTGCAGGGTATGCTCTAGGGTAGCTTCCTTGACATCAGGAGGTGTGTGCCAGTCAAGCCCACTTGCACAGGCCATGTTCAAATAATACGGCCACAGATGGTCAGGCCCAGCGGCGACAGGAAGCGCACCAGCCCGACCTCTACGTTGGACCACTTGCTCTAAAACATCCGCGTCTACCGTGACATGCAGGCATGCGTGCGTTTTGAACGGGGACTCCAACATCGTCCGAACATTCACGAGGGGGGCCACGTCCCTGGAACACACAGCATAGTCAATCATAGTCATACCCACGTCACACGTGTAATCAACATCATCAGGAACTCGAACCCTGGACCAGGTGATCTCCAGGAAACCCGACTCCATCAACAGATCAGGCGACATGTTGAAATCACCGAGCAGGACCCAGGGAACGCCCAAGGTGGTAGTGAATTCCGCGATTTCTCTCAGCCGAGACAGATTCTCACCCGTCGCCCCAATGGACGACACCAGGTACACAACACCAATCGCCATGGAAATCCCGTGAAGCCTGAACTCCAGGAAGAACCAGCACGTGCCCGAACCAACATTCACAGCCTGGAGCCCAGAGAGGAAACGTTGGCAGGACAGACCCTTTTGACAGAAAGCTGCAACGCCCCCATGAGTACCACCTCCTGGAGAGTCGAGAGCAGCCTGGAAGAACGGGTTCCAACCCATAACTCTTGCATCCTTCTTGGCCTTGTGAACACCATCTTGCCGAAGATGGTGCTCAACGATGAACATGGCGCCCATCTCAGATATCCTGGAAGAGAGAAAACCTTTGGTGACATCAGACCAGCTGGTAACGTTGCAAAACCTGATCTCGATGCCATCCTGCTTGCCACGTCTGCGCCTCGGACGCGGCGGGGCCGCCTTGCTAAAGGCGGGGCGGGGCTTCGCTGTGTGCTGCTGCGGCCGCAGGCTGCGGCGGCTGCCCTCCAGGCGCCGCCGCTGCCGCTGGCTGCTGCTGCTGCACAGCAGGCTCCGCTGCTGCCGCGGGCGCCTGCCCGCCTGCCGCTGGCTGGCTGCCAGCAAAGGTGAGCTGGGAGGCTGCCGCCGAACAGAACAGAGAGAAAGTGGCAGACGATTGGTCACGAATAGCCTTCTTGGCGCGCTTGCCAGCCCGAGCGCGGGCGGCCTTGCTAAGCAGGACTCCGTAGCGTTCAGATGCCTCAGGAGTGAGTCCACGCTCAGCTGCACGCTCGCGCAGGGCTGCCAGCTCATTGAATTCAGGAGAATCAGGAGCATCAGTGCCGGCCTCGCTCTGCGCCTCCTCTCCCATGTCGAAATCGACCTCGGCGCTGCGCTGCTGGATGGCCACCTTCCGCATCTCGATCCACTGGGCGGGCGAGAGGTGCGACCGTTGGTAGAAACGCTGCAGCTCAGCTTCCGATAGTTCATGTAGATGTTCCTGGACCCACTGGAAGTCAACCTGCCCGCTCTCGGTGATGCCTGGCAACTGCGCACCAGGGGGACCGTGAGGAGGTACGCCAGCGCCTGGAACACCCTGTGCCCCAGGTTGGCCAGCTGCACCACCAGGTAGAAATCCTCCCGCACCTGTGTCGTTGCCCACGCCTCTGGCTGCACGTGCGACTGCGCGGGCATGCTCAGCGGCTGCCTGCTGCGCCGCTGCTGCTGCTTGTTGCTCAGCACGTTGCAGATCGAGGCGATAGGCATCAGCATTGAAATTATCCTTCTCAAAGTTGGCACGGCGAAGAGAGTCCACGGCCTCCTGCAGCTCCGTTTCCTTCTCCGCGTGCTTCGACTCAGCACTGAACAGGGCGCCCCGAGCTCGCACCACGGCCTGGCGACGCTGTTCCACATCTGCTTGCAGTACCCGTTCTTTTCGACTGGCCGTCTCCACCGCCTTCGAGAGCACGCTGCGCTTGGCGGCGACCTGCTTCCCGATGTCATTGTCCGTGGCGGGGACGTACGCCTCTGGAGGCGGCGGCGGAGCGACTGCTTGGAGCTGCCCAAGCACAGTCGCGTAGGTGGGGTACTTTGCCGCCAACGCGTTGAGGTCAGCGACGAAATCCACTTGAGCAGCAGCAGGAACAGGAGGACGCGCGCCAGGGCCGTCATCGACATACGCGCCTCCGCACTTGCTGCACTCCGTGTTGCCGAAGTGGTCGTACTCCCAGTGGCTGCACTTGGAGCACACGGAGTAGTGGCCGTTGCCGTAGCGGCCTCCCCGTCCGTCGCGACGACCACGCCACCATGGAGCATTGCGGCGCCACGCCATGAGGGGCACAAGGCTTGGCACACAAGGGCCGTGAGTGAAGAAAACTGCCAGGTTTCAAGAGACCTTGCCACGCTCGGACTAGAGCGATCCAGTCTTGCCAATGCGGGCTCAGCCCGCCAAAGCATCAGCCTTGAACCAAAATGGCTACGGCAGGAGGAGGAGGAGGAGGAGGAGGAGGAGGAGGAGGAGGAGGAGGAGGAGGAGGAGGAGGAGGAGGAGGAGGAGGAGGAGGAGGAGAGGAGGAGGAGGAGGAGGGAGGAGGGAGGGAGGAGGGAGGAGGGAGGAGGGAGGAGGGAGGGAGGAGGAGGGAGGAGGAGGAGGAGGAGGAGGAGGAGGAGGAGGGGAGGAGGAGGAGGAGGAGGAGGAGGAGGAGGAGGAGGAGGAGGAGGAGGAGGGGGACGAGGAGAGGGAGGAGGAGGAGGAGGAGGAGGAGGAGCCGCGGATGGAAAGCATCATCTCGTCGGGTCTCTGGGTTTTCAGAGTCGGTGCAAGCCCATTGGGTCGCCTGGTCCGTTGCCCCTGCTCCCCCTCGACCCCCGGCCATCTGGCCCCTTGCCTCCCTGCGTGGGCTGCCGCCCGGGCGGCTTGGCCGGGGTCGTCTTTGCGGGCGGGCGGTGGGTCTTTGACGACCGGGCGGAGACGGCCGGGCGAAGACGACCGGGCGAAGACGCCCCGACAACGCCAGCCCGTCGAAGACGACCGCGGGCGAAGACGACTGAGCGGAGACTACCGCGGCGAAGACGACCGCAGCGAAGATCAGCGCGGGCGAAGACGGCCGCGGGCGAAGAAGGCCACGCCAGAGCTGACCGCAGCGAAGATGACAGGGCGAAGCCGATCGCGTGCGAAGAAGACCGCAGCGAAGACGACCGCGGCGAAGACGAGTTGCCCCGCTCCCTCCCCCTTCCCCTGTCCATCCTTCTCCCTCCCACTTTCGTCGTTCACTGTCATCCCCTCGTTCCTCTCCCCCCATATTCCACCCTCTCCTCCGCATTAAAACATTTCCCTCCTCCCCCCTCTCCTCCTTCTCCTTCTCCTTCCTCCACCCCGTCCTGGGGAGGAGGAACAGGGGGGTCATGAGGAGCATGGCTTCAGGCAGCTCGGCCACTTCGGGCATGGCCTCCACGTTGCCTGTGTGGTGAGATCAGTGTTCCTTGTCCTTTCTGCTCCCGCTGTGGAAAATCTGGAAGTCCTGAACGCTTTTAATCTGGGATCAAGGAATGAGCAATTTATCCGTGAAGAGGAGCGTGCCCTCCTCAAGGGCAAGTTTATCAGCACACAGTGCTGTATTCATTCAGCCCAGGCTTTAAAGTGGCACTCGCCTGGTTGGTGCCATGATCCAGCAGTAACTTTCTGACCAGGCTAGTGCCCACATGTGTGTTGTGTACTGTCTGACTCACCTGATAAGTACATGCAGTACCCGCAATGAGGAGACCGACGATTATGATGAGGATAGTGATGATGATGATGATGATGATGATGATGATGCTGATGCTGATGCTGATGCTGATGCTGATGCTGATGCTGATGATGACGACGATGACGATGACGACGACGATGAGTGCTACGATAATGACGATGATGGCGACGTCTGCGGCGATGACCATGATGATAGTGGTTGTGCTGATGGATGGTGATGGTGATGGTGGTGACGACGACGCCGCCGCCTATAAGGATGTTGATGATACGGATGCGATTATGACGGTGATGCTGGTGATAATGAGCATGATGATACTTGACGGTGGTGATGACGGCGACGACAACAACGACGACGAGTCTGATGGTGCTTGGTGGTAGTGGTGGTGAGTGGTGAGTATGGTGGAAGCGAGGAGGCTCAGGAGGAGGAGGAGGAGGAGCAGAAACATGGAATTACAGCTGGATCTGGATGAGAGGTGCACCGAAGCACGCGGCCGCCCTGCGAGCGCGGCGCGCGCCCAGCCCGCCGCGTGGAACCCCTGCTGGCCGCGCTGGTGGACAAGGGAGGCGTCAGCGGCTCCATGAGCGGGCTGGCGTACCAGCTGCCCCTGCCAGAGGCCCTTTCTGCCTCCCCTCCTCCCGCTTGCGCCTCCTCTCCCTCTCTCTGGCTCTCTCCCTCTCTCTCTCTCTGGCTTTCGCTCGCTCTCCCTCTCTCTTTCTCTCTTTTCCTTTCTCCCTCCCTCCCTTCCTCCCTCTGTATGTACGTATCAATGAATGTATGTCTATATGTATGTATGTATGTATGCTACATGTGTACTATGGATATGGGTACATACAGATGAAGCACATATATATATAGATGCATACATGAATGTATGCATTACATCTCTCTTTATACACATATATGCACATGCAGATGCATGCAGTCCCGCCCCTCACTCTCTCTCTCTCTCTGAACATGTACACAACAGATTTATACTCATACACACACGTATCAGAGACGCCTACTGCGAATCACCCCCTCCCCTGCCTTTTCGATACGCCCAGGTTGCCGAACTTTGCGACCAGAGCTTAGCCAAGCTATCGGATCAGGTGTTCCCCCCCCCGCCGTTGTGGAAACTAATCGGGGAACACGTGGGGGAGAAACAAGAAGAGGAAGAGAGGGAGGAACAAACTGGAGGAGGAGGAGGAGGCCTCTTGGGAGTTTCTTGGGGCACTCTTTGAGCCTCATGGGAGGTTCTTGGGTGTCTCTGGGAGGCTTCTTGGGGACTTCCTTGGGTCTCGTGGGTGCCTTTGGAGGCTCCTTAGGGGGGCTATTTGGCCGTCTGAGGGCGTTCCAGCTCGTCGGAAACCGTCCTGAGGGCCTGGGCCAAATCGGGGCCCTCTCGGGGTGCTCCGGGCCCGTCTTGGAGGCCATCTTGGGCGTCTTGGAAGTGTCTGGGCCGTCTTGATGCCCTCTTGGGGCCATCATGAGGCCTATTGGGCACTCTTGGGGCCATCTTGGTGGCCTTTGCGGTCATCTTGGGCCGTCGGAACACCGAACATACGCAAACGCCCAAACCCTTCAACACACAAGGAGCACCCATGACTCTCCCTTCTTCGGACCTTTCCGAAGGGTCTCTTGGAGGCCTCTTGTGGGCTTCTTGGGCTGTTCTGGGCCATCCTGAGACAATCTGAGACCGTCTTGGTTGCATTTTGGGCAGTCTTGGATGCATCTTGCGGCTATCTTTGGCTCTCTTGGGGCCATCTTGTACGTGTTGTAGGCCATCTTGATCATCTTGGGGGCTTCTTGGGCCGTCTGTGGACCCTCTTGGGTCCGTGTTGTGGGCTTCTTGGGCCGTCATGGGGTAATCTTGGAGGCCTCTTGACTGATCTTGGGGCGATCTTGGGGACCTCTTGGGCCGTCTTGGGCCGTCGGAAGGCCAGAAAGGAGCGGATGCCAAATTTGTTCAAACACATATGGAATCATTGATTTCGGCATCTTCAGGCCTTCCTGAAGAACCTCTTGGAGGCCTCTTGAGCCCTCGTAGGGGCCTCCTGGGGGCCTCTTTGGCGGCCTTGGGCCATCTGGAGGCCAATTTAGCCCGTCTTGGCTGCATCTTGGGCCGTCTTGGGGACATCTTGGGCTCTCTTTGGGGCATCTTGGCCGTCGTGGAGGTCATCTTGGGTGTTTTGGGCGCCAACTGGTACTGCCTTGGTGCCGTCGTGGGAGCTTCTTGGGCCGTTCTGAGGTCACCTTGGAGGTCTCTGCGGCGATCTTGGGGCGATCTTCGGGGTTTGCTGGGCAGTCTTGGGCCGTCGGAAAGCCGAAGAGGCGCAACAGTCAATCTTTCTGTAATGCTAAATGGCAACGCTTGCTTGTAACCTTTTCGGGCCTTCATGTAAGTCCTCTTGGAAGCCGCTTGAGGCACCTGGGAGGCCTCTTTGGAGCGTCTGGGTCCGTCTTGGGCCATCTTGAGACCATCTAAGGCGGTCGTGAGTGTATCTTGGGATCTCTTCGACGCTTTTCGTGGGCCTCCTGAGAGCAGTTTTGAAGCCTCTGGGGTGCTGTGTTGTGTCCTCTTTTGGGCCTCTCGGGGCCTCTTGGGGGCATCTTGGGGGCCTCTTGGGGCATCCTGGGCGCCTCTCGGGGCGGAAGGCTCGGAATTTCGGTTCGCCTTTCTCCTCTTGGGCTCCTCTTAGGGACGTGTTGGGTCCTCTTGGGTGTCTTTGGCGCCTCGTTGGCTGTCTTGGGGCCCTCTTAGGCCGTCTTGAGGGGCCTCTTGGGGGCCTCCGGGGCCCTCTTATGGCGGTCTTGGGGGCCTCTTTCGGACGTCTTGGAGAGTCGGAAGTTCGAAAAGTGGAGATCCCCCAAAACATTGATCACCTTTAGGTAACCCATTCCCAACTATCCTTGGGCCCTCGTCTTGAAGAGACGGTCCCCGCGTTCCTCCTCCCCCTCGTCCCCCTCCTTCCTCCCTGCGTTTCACCCACCCAGTACAGCGTTTCGTGGCCCTATAGGGAGCTCCACCGAAGCCCCCAGTGGCACCGCCCGCATGCGTCAGCCACCACCCAGCACAGCGTTTCGTGGCCCCATAGGGAACTCCACCGACGGCCCCAGTGGGACCGCCCGCATGCGTCAGCCATCATCCAGTACAGCGTTTCGTGGGCCTACAGGGAGCTCCACCGCAGGCCCCAGTGGCACCGCCCGCATGCGTCAGCCACCACCCAGCACAGCGTTTCGTGGCCCCATACAGGAGCTCCACCGAAGGTCCCAGTGGGACCGCCCGCATGCGTCAGCCACCACCCAGCACAGCGTTTCGTGGCCCCATAGCGGGCTCCACCGAAGGCCCCTGTGGCACCGCCCGCATGCGTCAGCCACCACCCAGCACAGCGCTTCGTGGCCCCATAGGGACCTCCACCGACGGCCCCAGTGGGACCGCCCGCATGCGTCAGCCATCATCCAGTACAGCGTTTCGTGGGCCTACAGGGAGCTTTATTGAATGCCCCAGTGGCACCGCCCGCATACGTCAGCCACCACAGTGGGACCGCATGCGTCAGCCACCACCCAGCACAGCGTTTCGTGGTCCCATAGGGGGATCCACCGAAGGTCCCAGCGGCACCGCCCGAATGCGTCAGCCACCACCCAGTACAGCGTTTCGTGGCCCCATAGGGAGCTCCACCGAATGTCCCACTGGGACCGCCCGCATGCGTCAGCCACCACCCAGTACAGCGTTTCGTGGCCCCGTAGGGAGCTCCACTGAAAGATCCTGGTAGCACCGCCCGCATGCGTCGTCCACCCAGTATTGCATTTCGCGGCCCCATTGATTGGGGGCTCCACCAGTCCCCAGTGGCACCGCCCGCATGCGTCCCCCCCACCCGGTACAACGATTCGTGGCCCCGTAGGGAGCTCCAGTGGCACCGCCCGCATGCGACCCCCCACCCGGTACTGCGTTTCGTGGTCCCATAGGGAGCTCCACCGAAGCCGCCACTGGCACCGCCCGCATGCGTCGGCCACCACCCAGTACAGCGTTTCGTGGCCTCCAAAGAAGGACCCCACTGGCACCGCCCGCATGCGTCTCCCCCAGCCAGTACTCAGTACAGCTTTTCGTTGGCCCATCGGGAGCTCCAGCGAGGGGCACCTCCCGCATGCGTCCGCCCACAGGGAGCCCCACCGAAGGCCCCAGTGGCACCGCCCGCATGCGTCTCGCCCACCCATTACGGCACGTCCCTCACGCGTTTCGTGGCCACATAAGGAGCTCCACCGACAGCGGCACCCACAACGCGTTGTTCACAACTGCATATGGTTGGGTCTTTCGCCAGGATAATTGTTTTTGGCCCCTTGGGGCCCTCTTGGGAACGCTCTTGAAGTCCTCGTGGCGCTTCTTGCGCGCGTTTTCGGCCTCTTGGAATCCTCGCGGCGTCTTGAGCAGGTTGCTCGGTGATTCGGGGCCTTCTTGAACAGTCTTCGGGGCCTGTCGGGGCCCTCTTGGCCTGTCTGAGGGCGGCCTGGAAAAATCATGCGGGAAGACGCGACAAGCCCAAGGAGGCACGCGACAAGCCCAAGACGATTTGATAATTACGAGTACGGGCGCCTTGAAGACATGTCAGGATTGACCACTGAGGCTCCAGAGGATTGAGCAAGGGACCTGAGGACACTCCAACTCGTGCCCCAAGGGCATTGTAGCAGATACATTGTTAGATACATATTGTTGTATGTCTATGTATATACATAGATGCACCGCAGTCATTTCTATACCCTTGCGTGGGTTTATGTGCGGCCGCGTTTGCGCTGGCATGTGCGTGCATGTGCGCGGCATGTGCCCAGCATGTGCCTGGCATTTGCGGGCCTTCTTGGTTGGATGTCCCATTGTGCATGCGCGCCTGGACAGGTGCAGGGTCATGTGCGCTGTGTTTGGTCATCATTTGTCTTCACATGCCCGCACATGCCGGCGCACATGCCCGCACATGCCCGCACATGCCTGCACATGCGGAAGGTGTGCGATGATTGCAGATTTGCCAGCGGCACATGCACGCACATGCACGGCGCGCAATCCTGGCGCGTGGACCCGCACACGCCCCATGCGTGCAATCCTCCTGGCGGATGACCGCGCGGGCCCGCACATTCACCCACAAGCGTTAAAGCGCGCGTCCGCACATGCTCGCAGATTCCGACGCACATGCCCGTACATGCTCTCGGAGTTGCTTGGGATCCATAGAAGAGCTTCCCGTGCTTCGTGTCAGATCTTCTTGCGGCCATGACGGGATCCTGTGCCGTTCATGCTGAGAGAGCTTGCGCGTTTGGCCCGCCCACTGCTGATGGAAGCGGTTCACGCCTATGTGCTTCACCTTGTGTGGTCGTCCAGTGGCCGTGCAGAGCTTGTTGGTGTGCCCTGTCAAAATCTCTTTCGCGAGCGCCTGTTCGGCTTGGCCGGGGGAGGGAATCAGACGGAGGGGGAGGAGAGTAGGAGGGGGCGGACATGGAAGAGGACGAGGGGGAGCAGGCGCTCGCAACTCGCATCTCGGACGGCATGGTGGCGAAGAGCATCCAAAGAGAGGGAGAAGAGAATGAGGTCGAGGAAGAGGAGGCCCGTCTCGCGTGGAGCGTCCTCAGAACTCACGGCTACGAAATGTTTTGGCTTGAGGTGATTTGCCCCGCTTCGCTTGGGATATCCATAGAGGTGTGGGTTCCAATCTGCGATTCTCGACGTGCTCCGGCCCGTTTTGCGTGAGGCGTCCTCGACATTTTGGGCTCCGAGAACAGCGGGAACCGATGCCCTGGCTTGATTTGATCTGGCCCGTTTCGCTTGGGAAATCCCCGAAGTCTGGGTTCCAGGGTGCGATTATTGAAGTGGCCCAGCCCGTTTCGCGTGAGACACCATCGGAGTTCGGGGCTCTGAGATGGTTTGATTTGAGGCGATCTGCCCGGATTTGCCTGGGACATCCTCATGGTTCTGGGTTCCACGATGCGATTCTTAAGTGTTCCGGCCCGACAGCGGCATTCAAGAAGTCCCGCATAGACTTCGTGGGGACCCACAGGGCCGTCCGCCATCTGCACAGCATGACCGCTTGTCTGGGTCGGCCACCGACAAGTTCGGCCTGCGCAAATTCCGTGCGGGGCATGTGCGGGATGTGCAAGAATGCCGGGGCCGGCCAGGCTGGGAGCGACCCCGATTCATCCAGCGCCCCGCTCACCCCCTGCGCAGGCGCGCGCAGCGCCTGCGCTGCCCGAGTTCGCCGCCATGAGCGGGACGCCGGAGCAGTGAGCCAGCCGTTTTCGCTTGAGAGACCCTCGCAACTCTGACCTCGGAAATGCCCTGAGCTGAGGTGGTCAGGCCACCTTGTCCGGAGACATCCTCGCAACTCTGATCTCGGAGATGCCCTGCCCCATGGTGGTCGGGCCACTTTCGCTTGAGATATCCTTTCAACTCTGATCTCGGAGATGCCCTGAGCTCAGGTCGTCAGGCCAGTTTCGCCTGAGACATCTTCGCAAATCTGACCTCGGAGATGCCTTGCCCCATGGTGGTCCAGCCACTTCCCCTTGAGCATCCTCGCAACTCTGGGTTCCAGGATGCCCTGAGCTCAGGTGGTCTGGACACTTTCGCCTGACGCATCCTCACTACTCTGGGTTCCGATGTGCCCTGTGCTCAGGTGGTCAGGTCACTTTGGCCTGAGACATCCTCGCAAATCTGACCTCGGAGATGCCCCGAGCTGAGGTGGTCAGGCCACTTACGCCTGAGACATCCTCGCAAATCTTACTTTGGAGATGCCCTGCCCCATGGTGGTCGCCACTTACGCCTGAGACATCGCAACTCTGGGTTCCGATGTGCCCTGAGCTCAGGTGGTCAGTTCACTTCGGCCTGAGACATCCTCGCAACTCTGACCTCGGAGACGCCTTTCCCCATGATTGTCCAGCCCTTTTGTCTGAGACATCCTCGCAACTCTGACCTCGGAGATGCCCTGAGCTGAGGTGGTCAGGCCACCTTGTCCTGAGACATCCTCGCAACTCTGATCTCGGAGATGCCCTGCCCCATGGTGGTCGGGCCACTTTCGCTTGAGATATCCTCTCAACTCTGATCTCGGAGATGCCCTGCCCCATGGTGGTCGGGCCACTTTCGCCTGAGACATCTTCGCAATTCTGACTTCGGAGATGCCCTGAACTGAGGTGTCAGGCCAGTTTCGCCTGGGACATCTTCGCAACTCTTGGTTCCGAGATTCCCTCAGCTGAAATGGTCAGGCCAGTTTCGCGTGAGATATCCTCGCAACTCTGACCTCGGATGTGCCCTGCCCCATGAAGGGACTGCCACTTTCGCCTGAGACATCCAAGCATCTCTGACTTCGGAGATGTCCAGTTCCGAGATGCCCTGAGCTGTTGTGGTCCAGCCATTTTCGCTTGAGAGATCCTCGTAACCCTGGGTTCCGAGATGCCCTGAGCTGAGGCGGTCAGGACCGTTTCGCCTGATGCATCCTCGCGTGATACATCATCCCAGCGCTGGCCACATCCATTTGTTCGATTGGTGCTGTCGCCTGCCACGTCCCTTACTTGGGTATCGCGTTGCTGCTCGAAAGCCAGCGACATCCGTCTCCCTCGTTGTCCTTGCTCCTTCCCTCGTTCCTCTCTCATCTGTCCTTTTTCCTCCCAAGTTGTTTCTCTGTCCCCCACCCGGATCTTCGACTCTTCGGGATTTGCGGGCATGTGCTGTTATACTTTTGGAGTTTGTCCAGACTGTGCATCCGACTCTGCCTTGGACTATGTGGCATGTGCGCACGTGTGCGGCGATGTTGTTGAGACTCTTCTAGGGTTGCATGGGCATGTGCATGCGACTGCGGGGCATGTGCGAGCATGTGCGGTCCCTTGCGGACCTCAGAACGGAAGCGAGCACTATGTAAATGAGTATTCTAGAAGTGAGTCCGATATAAGTTTGTCGGTGTCTCTTTATCTCCCTGTCTCTCGCATCCGAGACCACCAGCAGGCCCCGAGGAGGCCCCAAGAGGCCCACAAGAGCCACCCAAAGGCCCCCCAAAGGTCCCCCAAAGGCCCCAAGGAGTCCTCCTGACGGGCACAAGTATCTCTTACCTCGAAAATCACAAACGCCCGCGCGCCACAGCCGCCTCAACCCGATCACATATCGAACCGAGGCACCAATTAATACGGCGACGGTCAGACAGCTAAACCGTATTTCCATACTCGTGTGCAAAACACTTTTGCATTGCGGGCTGGCGTGCCAAAGGCCCATGCCAGAGGCGAGGGGGGAGAGCGATGGGAAGCATACAAAAACCTTCGACGGGGAGACATCCTTGCAAGTTTTGTTTGAAGACGGCTAGCGTTTTGTTCAGGCTGGCTCGGAGGGGTTGGGCATGGGGCGTCTGGGGATGAGGGAGGAGGGGTTGGATCGGGAAAGGGGTGGAGCAGGAGGAGGGGAGATCGCTCACGCGCGTAGCAGGAGTGGCCTTGCCCTTCCTCCTCTGCCTTACTTTTGCCACCTCATCTGCATGCTTGTGCCTTCTTCTTCTCCTCGTCCACGTCGTCATCGTCGTCGTCCTCCTGCTATGTGCTCCTTCCGTTTGCCTTGTAAACCGCCTCTCCCTGCCGCACCCCCCTGGGAGTGTCGGTGGGGCGGGCCGAGCGTTTCGCCAGAGGCTTCTTCACACTTGAGAAGCAGAAGCTTGAACTTTGCTAGGGGGCCACATGCGAACCCTACCCCTACCCCCCACGATTTCTGAGGGGGAGGGGTACAGTCGGGGCCCTGAAGAAGGAACCCTTTTCGTTGGGGAGGGGCTCCGCGTTCCTTAATTGTTTCACAGCTTGCCTCAGGTTTTCCTTAGGTTTTCGATATGAAATCGAAGTTCAACTTATGGTAAAAAAGGGGCCTCGTTCCTTATTTAGGGTTCCTTAGGTCAACGCCCCGACTGTAGGGTTCGCATGGGCCCCCCTAGGGGGGGAGATCTTTGTTCAAGCCGTGGCTCTCGATCTGGCGCCGCGCACCGTCGTTTTCGCAGCGCAGCAGCTTCGAGGATGGAATGGCTGACCGTTCAAACTGTTGCTTCTTCCCTCTGCGCCACACGCGCATGTGTCACTGCACTGTTGCAGTGCGGCGCCTTTCGAAATGGAGCTTTACAGTCGGGGGCTTGACCTAAGGAGCCCAATATAAGGAACGAGGCCCCTTTTTTCCATGAGTTAAAATTCGATTTCCGATCGAACACATAAGGAAAACCTGAGGCAAGCTGCGAAACACATAAGGAACGCGGACCCCCTCCCCAACGAAAAGGGTTCCTTCTTCAGGGCCCCGACTGTAGCGTTAGACTTCCTGAGAGTTAATGACCACACGCGTAAACTTGTGCACACGTTGCTCAGTCGAGGCGCGGTCTTTTTTAGGAAGCGATATATCGCAGGACACCTCGTTCAACTATACTTACAGTCGCTCGCATCCCTGATTGCACGCCAGCAGGATGCAAGATAGTTCCTTTTCAAAGCCGAGCCCTGTCCAGTATGGCAGGCCGAATCGCTTTGGCCTTTCACGGGGAGCGCTTCTCGCAGTGAAGAGGAAAGCTTCTAGGGACGTTTGAGGAGGGGACCTTGGACGGGAGGGCGTACTGCAACATCGCTGATCTATGTTGGGTTATTATGATCCTCCTCCCCCTCCTCCCCCCTCCCCCTCCCCCCTCTGGGGCCCCTCCCATTCCTCCTCTTCCTCCTCTTCCTCCTCCCCCTTCCCTACCACCTCCTGCTCCCTCCTCTTCGTCCTGTTGGTGATGTTCCATCTCTTCCTTCCCTTCCCCTGGTGAGGCCCCCTCCCTTCCTCTTGATGCTGCTGATCGTCCTCCACCTCCTCCCCCTCCTCCGTTTTCCTCCTCCCCCCCCTTCCCCCCCTCTCTGTCCCCGAAGAGGGGGAGGAGGGGAGGAGGACCCTCTCTTCGACCTGGCTTGTGCCCCCCCGCCCCGTCGTTTTCCCTCCAGGAGGTCCCCCAAGTATACCCCGCTTTTCGACCCCCAGGCCTCGACTCCCAGATATCCCCAGATGCCCCTAGGCCTCGGTCCCCAGATTTCGCCCTTCCCCCGACCCCCAGATGTCTTGCCCCCCTCTCGCTCCGTCGCGTTCCTTCCAGGAGGTCCCCCATACATCACGCCGCTCGCGACCCCCAGGCCTCGGATCCTCCTCTCCCCCGCTGCCTGGGCGCGAGGTGCAGAGCTGCATCTCCGCCCTCGCGGCCAGCGGCCCGCGCCGCCGTGGCCTGTGGCCCGAGCCCGCGCGGCGTCGGCAGACCGAGCCGGCGCAGGCCAATCGTCGTCGCCGCAGCCGCCGCCGACGTCGCCGTTGTCGTCGCCGCTGGCGTCGTCGTCGTCGTCGTCGTCCTTGTCATGGCATTGGCTGTGTCCGTGGTCGCGATCGTGGTCGCACTTGTGGTCGTGGTCGTCGTCGTCGGGGCCAGGAGGGGCCCAGCGGGAGGAGGAGCAGGAGCGGATACGCACCCTGCTGGTGAGGAGAGGAGGAGAGGGAGAGGACGGGGAGGGGCACGTGGGAAGGCCTCCGCCTCCGCCTGCGCCTCCCCTGCCTGGGCCTCCGCCTCCGCCTCTCCCCCCTCCTCCTCTCCTCCGGCTTTTCCTCCTCCTCCTCCTGGTCCTCCTCCTCCCTTTCCTCCTCCTCCTCCTCCTCCTCCGTCCTCCCTCCTCCTCCTCCCTCCTCCTCTCCTCTCTCTCCTCCTCCTCCTCCTCCTCCTCCTCTCCTCCTCCTCCTGGTTCTCCTCCTGGTCCTCCTCCTCCTCCCTCCTCCTCCTCCTCCTCCTCCTCCTCCTCCTCCTCCTCCTCCTCCTCCTCCTCCTCCTCCTTTGTGCCCGCCTCTCATCCTTGTCCCACCTGGACAGGCCGCGCCCCTGGTTGACTTTGTGGACGAAGGAGCGGCTCGCCTGGTGGCCCCCGCCGCGGTGTTTCTCCTGGGGCGGCTGCTTGCCTTCTGTGCTTGGCGCCTGTCGTCTTCCGTCTGTCCCCTCTCCCACCTCACCACCCACCAGTCTGCCCAATTTGCCCTCCATTCCCAGTGTGTGGGGGGTCGGGGAACACTGAAGAACACATATAGGAAGCCCGTACCCCCCCGACTCGAACTTTGGGTCTTCGGGTTGGGTTAAGGTGGTCTGGCGGGCAGTCACCCCACCTCCCCACGCTTGCTCCACCTCCCCCTCTTCCCCTGCCTCTTCGCCCCCGCCCCTACCCCCTGCACTCCCCTCCACTCTTTCATCGTCGCCGTCGTACGTCGAAGGCCGAAGAGTTGCCTCGTGGGGCCCTGTTGGTGCCTCTTGTGGGCCTCGTGGGGGCCTCTCTTAGGCCGCATTTGGGCCCTCTTGGGCTCCTTTTAAGGCTCTTGCCATCGGAGGCGACAAGGCGAGAATGGAAACATCATTACTGCCCTACAGGTTTGGGAACATGTTCGGACTTTTGAATGGGCCCTGGGGGGGCTCCGAATGCATTTCGAGCCATCTTGTGGCTGTCTTAGGGTTTCTCTCGGAGGTATGTCGGCGGCTACCATGAACCATGAACCATGAGCCATCTTGGAGGCCATTTTGGAGCGTCGGGACGATTCTGCTTTGTTTCGCCCAGATCCTTCCCACAGTATTTGTAAGTGCCCGTCAACGTCGCGACAGTGTCAGCGCACATGTATACTGTTGCACTTTGGCTCGAACTGTGACAGCGGTGTCCCTTCTCTTTGCGAGTGGTGAGGGGACTGCAGTCTAAGCGCCAGTGAACTTCCCCCAGGCGTTCCGCAAGAAGTCTGCTGAAATACCTGGCGTCTTTTTACGATATTTGAGTCTTCAGTGTATCCTTGGCGGTGCATGTTGGCTGCCGCCTTCTCCCGATCACAAGTCTGGGGTTTCCTTGGGCTCAACTGACTCGCGTTGTGCTCTGAAGGTCTTGTAGGACATTCTTGTGGCCGTTTGGACAGACAAAGCTTGGTTCTGAAACGCACGCGCGCCCACGCGCGCCCGCGCGCGAGCGCACACGCGCGCGCACGCGTGCGCGCATACACACACACGCGCGCAACCACGCACATTCTTTGCCGGTCGCAGCCTTGCGCGCAGCGTGGAGGCGAAGAAAGGTTGGAACCGCGGCGCCTGCGGCTAGGCTCTCGGGGGAATCTCAGCAGATTCCGAAGCGCCATCGGCAGCAAGACATCCGAGCATGGATGGCGAGGAGGTGACACGCTGCCCAACGGTGGGCCTCCCAACGAGGACGTAGCGCTAGGACGTAAAGGAGGGGGCATACTACAGACGCGGGCGGAATGAAAGATGACCTGTCAACGAACGGTCTCGGGGACACAGGACGCACACAGACACACACAGACACACACACAGACACGCAGACTCAAAGACACACACGCACACAAAACGACACACACAGAAACGCACACAGGCACACAAAGCCACACAGACAGACACACACGCAAACACACACAGACACACACAGACACACAGACACACAGACGCATACAGAGACACACACAGACACACGCACACAGACACACACACACACAGATACACACAAACACACAAAGACACGCACACAGACACACAGACACACACACAGGCACACACAGACATACACAGACACACACAGAGACACACACACAAAGACACACACAGGCACACACAGACACACACACAGGCATAGACACACACAGTCACACACACACACACCCAGCCACACACACAGACACACACGGACACCCACGCACACACACACACACACGCCAACACACAGACACGCACACACAGACACACCCAGACACACACACAGACACACACGGACACACACACAAACACACACAGACACAAACACAGATACGCACGCACACACGCACACACGCGCACACACACACACACGCTAACATGCACGCACACACACACACGCACACACACGCACACGCACACACGCACACCCAGACACACACGCACACGCACACACACACGCACACGCACACACACAAATACAAACACAAACACAATCGCAAACACACACGCAACTAAAAACACGATCACAAACGCGAACGCAAACACATGCACAAACACAACCACTAACACAAGCGCAAACACAAACACAACCACAATCACAAACACAAGCACAAACACAAACGCAAACACAGGCACAACCATAAACACACGGACACAACAACACACAACGCACACAGCACACACAACACACGCACAACACGCACACACTCACACCCAAGAGCTCGAATCGATAGCAGCAGTGTAGTCAAACAAGTCGTTTCGGCCTGGCCCGGCTGGCTGCCTCGCTCTCCCTCTCTTACGCGAAGCACCTTGCAGTATAATGAAGAAGACGAGGATGAGTGAAGGAGGAACGCTGCGACGATGACGCCGACGATGAGGACGAGGAGGAGGAAGAGGAGGAAAAGGGAAACACTCTGCCGTAGCAGATACTTACAGGTATGCGCGCTCAGCCGTAGCAGATCCCCTCCGGTATCTGCTGTCCAAGCTGTCTACGGCTATTCTTAAGCAGTCCCAGACGGCGCCGGCGCGAAACGTGACGTTACTTGGGGTGGGGAGGGGTGGGGCCGGCAATGGCCGATATCGTTAAAACATTGAAGAATTAGGTCGAACGGTTTTACGCACGATGCAGCGACCCTGCTCCGTGGCTTACGCCAGCCGCTCCCGCAAAGCACCACGTGTAAAAAAACTCGATTGCCCGCAAACGTATGCGAGAAGCTCCCGTGCCTATGTAAAATCACAGCGTCGAAAAGTCCCCCGTCGCCGCATTGACTCGCCAGGCCACGACGACGAGGGCGACGAGGGCGACGACGACGACGACGACGGCAACGGCGGCGCCTCCGTGCCCCCTGGCACACTAAGAGCGCGACATGATGCCCTGCGCTGTCTGGAGCGTCGTCACATGTCAGAGCGTGGTCTCACGCCATAGTTAGAGCGAGGAGGAGGAGGAGGAGGAGGAGGAGGAGGAGGGGGAGGAGGAGGAGGAGGAGGAGGATGAGGATCGAGGATCGTCATCGTAGTCCTCCACCCCCACGCCTCCCTCCCCATCGCGCGCGCGCGGAGGTGGCTGTCTGCCAGACGCTGCAGCTTGCGGACCTGCTCGAGCTGCGGTCGGCGCTGCGACGCTGCGGCGCCGAGCGCAAGGAGATCCTGGTCGAGCTGCGGAGGCCGCCTTCCGCCGCCGCCACCGTCGACGGCTCGTAGCAGGCAGTGCCAGGACATCGCATGCACTTGTGGAGACCTCCGTGTCGAGTGATCTTGCACCTGCGGCTCATGGTCGCATCGATTTAGCAGGCATCTCACTTGTCGCCCAGATTTTGCGGATGTCTCGAGCGAGGAGAGTGTGTGTGAGTGTGTTTCCACCTCCGACGCCTCCCTTTTCAGAGCCCCATGATCATGGCGATGTAGCAGGCGAAGCACTTAGGCACCCCTAAGGAGGGCCGCCAGGGGGTGTGTAGTCACCGCGATGTAGGAGGCATACGGGGACTGGCTGATTCATCCGATGGCGTCTCATCCGCTCCGACTCATTCGGGTGAACCGCGACCGGATAAATTAGACTGGATGACTTAGTCACCAGATGAGTTAGCCCGGAGGAGTCAGTCACCAGACGAGTGAGTTAACCCGGATGAATGAGACACCATATTAATTCGGCACAGGATGAGGTAGGCACCGGATGAGTCAGGCATCAGATGGGGTAGGAGTCGAATGAATGAGGCACCAGATGAGGTACCAGATGAGTTAGGCACAGGATGAGTGAGGCATTGGACGAGTTAGGCTCCGGAGGAGCTAGGCCCCGGATGAGTTAGGCACCGGATGAGTTAGGTTAGGCACCAGATGAGTTAGGCACCGGATGGGTTAGGCACCGGATGAGTTAGGTACCGCAGGAGTTTCGCACTGGAGGAGTATGGCACCAGAGGAGTATGACACCGCAGGAGTTTCGCACTGGAGGGGTATGGCACCGGAGGAGTATGGCATCGGAGAAGTTCGGCAACAAGATGAGTTCGGCACCGCAGGAGTTTCGCATTGGAAGATTATGGCACCGTAGTTCGGCATGCGAAGAGTTTGGCACTGTGTGCATTAGTCGTTCCAGGTGAGTTACGCCTACTCGGTAATCACACGCTATTCTCTTTCGTCCATTCTCATCCTTTTTCACTTCTTTCCGGATCCTTCCCTCTCGTCCTTCTCTTCGTTCTCGTCTTTCTCCTCCTCCTCCTCCTCCTCCTTCCTTCTCCCTGCCTGGATCGGAAGGATAACCTCGGAACCTGGCGGCATCGGCACAGCCACGCTGGATTGGGAGCGTTTTTTTGTTTGTATTTTGCATGCCGCTTCCAAATCAAAGTGGAGGGGGGTGAGGCCGTGAGATAGTGTGAGATTATGTTCATTGTCGGAGACGCCAGGTGGATGATGTCAGAGACTCCTCCACAGACTTGTTTGAAGTGCTGCGCTGTCTAGAACATGATCGGCCCACGAGCCCGGAACGGGAGGGAGAGCTGCAAAGCAAGGAAACGATTCTAATGACCTCACTCGGGCGACGGGAAGTGGCAGTGCTGAAGATATCGATGCTGATGATACTGTGCCAGGGGCTGTGTTGTGCTCCGCTGCGCTGTGCCGTGCCACGTAGTGCCGCAGCGATGAGCCAGGGGACGCGCCAAGGAACGTGCCACGGGACGCGTCGCCAGGTGGTCGCGCCGCGGAACGTCCCAAGGGACGCGCCAGGGGACGTGCCAGGAAACGTGCCATGAGAACGCACCGCGGGACGTACCAAGGGGGCGCGCCACGAAACGTGCCAGTGGACGTGCCAGGGGACGTGCCAGGTGGCGCGCCGCGCGTCGTGCCAGGGGCACGCGCCGCGGGCCGCGCCACGGAACGTGCCAGGGAACGCGCTAGGCGACGCGCCGGGGGACGTGCCGACGGTATGCCGAAGGTGTGCCGAGGTACTCTGAAGGTATGTCAGACACATTCGTTGAAGGTACTTCGAAGGTGCGCTGAAAGTACGCGGTTTCTGTATTGTCTTACATACATGATCGACCGAGGCATAGCTGTATTTTCAAGACGCTTGATTGGGCGACAGGCTCTTGCAGTGCTGAAGGTATCGATCGTGAAGTACCGTGCCATGATTATGCTGTGCAATGCCGTGCTCGAAATGAAGTGCGTCATGGCGCGATGAATTCCCTTGTGCTCAATCGTGTGGAGGATCAGGCCGCCGCTGGCATCCGAAACCGGACCGACATGGTTTGGATCTCGAGGGCGAGCTGCCCGAGCGCACAGCTGGCCCAAAGCTGGCTGCAGTCGAAACGCGTGGGGCACTCAATCAGCTCGAGCTCGAGATCCAACTCAGTTCCGAAGCGGGGCAAGGCGCGAGACACGCTGCGCAGGGCGCGTGGACGCGCCACAGAAGGTGCCGGGGGCGCACTCGGGGGCGCGCCGGGGGACGCGTCAAAGGACGTGGCAACGGACGCGCCCCGTAACGGGCCGGGAACGCGCCGGGGACAAGCCAGGGCGCGCGACCGGGGACGGGCCGGGGGAGGCGCCAAGGGGGGATGGGGCATACGCCGTCCCCCTCTGGGGCGTCAGGGACCCACGTGTTTTCAAGCCTGTCCCGATCTGGGGCGTCGGGAGTCCCAAACGGTTTCGCGCTGGTCGCGCTCTGGGACGTCAGGGGCCCAGGTGCGTTCAGGCTTGTCCCGCTCTGAGGCGTTCGGGTCCACATGTTTCCACGCATGCCCAGATCTGGGGCGTCAGGAACCTACGTGTTTTCACGCTTGTCCCGCGCTGGGGCGTCAGGACACCATGTATTTTCCATGTGTCTTCACGCTCGTCCCGCTCCGGACCCACGTGGTTTCTCGCTTGTCCTGCTTTGGGGCGTTAGGAACCCATGTGTCTTCACGCTTTAACCCTCCCTCGGGCGTCAGGAGCTATGGGTTTTCATGCTTTTCCCGTCCTGGGGAGTTAGGGACATGTGTTTTCACGCTCGTCCAGCTCTGGGGCGTCAAGATTCCACGCGTTTTCACGTTCGTCCCGCTTTGGGGCGTTCGGAGCCCATGTGCTTTCACGCTTGTCCCGCTCTGGAGCGTTTGGAACCCAGATGTTTTCACGCTTGCCCCTCTCTGGGTCGTTTAAGCCACCGTGTTTTCGTATTTTTCCCGCTCTGAGGCGCGCCCTAGGGTAATCTGTAGGATCCTCGCGCAAAACGCAACATTTCCGAGCCCCAGGAGCGGAACAATCTATGGAACAAAACCACTTTGACCGTCTTGAAGCTGTCCTCTCCACTGCTCGCGCAAACATCCCACCCACCCACCCGCAACTTGGTTTGCAAAACCTCTTCAGACCGACTACGACGACACCGACGACAACGACTAGGACGACGCCGACGACGTCTCCGACGACTTCGACGACGACAACGACGCCGACGCCGACGACGAAGACGACGACGCCGACGACGACGCCAACGAAGGCGACGACGAGGGAGGAGGAAGGACGACGACGGCGGCAACGACGACAACGACGACAACGACGAGGGAGGAGGGAGGACGGCGACGACGCGAACGACGACGAAGGAGGAAGGACGGCGACGCCGACGACGACAACGACGAGGGAGGAGGGAAGACGACGACGACAACGACGACGACGACGGCGACGAAATAGGAGGGACGACGACGAGACGCCGACGACGGACGACGACGACGACGTGGGAGGAGGAGGAAGGACGACCACGGCGACAACGACGACGGAAACGACCACGACGCAAAGAGGACGACGACGACGAACACGAGAAAAGACAGAGGACGACGTAGGCGACGACGACGACGCGGGAGGAGGGAGGACGGCGACGACGCAAGAGCGCGCGCGCACGCTTTTGTTGAAAATCCGTGTTGCGAAGCCCTGGGTTTTTGTAGGTTGTTTGGACGCACGATTTTGAAATCCTTCCGACACCGATGGATTTTGAAGGTTTTCGGCGTACGCCCGCGACGACGCGCGCGTCTGCACTTCGTTTCTTTTTTTTGCAGAGGATTCTCGCGACTGCACACGCGCAAGGGCGTTTGACAGATTTCGACATGCGCGCGCGCGAAGCCCGTTTGGTAGCATGTTGTGAAAATCTTGAACAACCAATGGTTTTCTTAAGATTTCGCAAGAGCTCGCGCGGAAGCTTTTTTAGCACATCAGTGTTGCGAAACCCTGTGTTTTTGTATGTTTTTTGGAAACTCGATTGCGAAATCCTTCCGGCACCGAGGCCGAGGGTTTTTGAAGGATTTCGGCATGCGCGCGCGACGACGCGCGCGTGCGCACTTCGTCCTTTTTTTTGCAAGGGATTAGTGAACAAGTGCTATGTTAGAACAAAACATGTCACCGCATAGTGTTTTTTCAAGGGAACCTCAGGGGGGGATACCGGTTTGGCTGGGATGATATGATTTCATATTTAGGATGGACGAGTGTGCAGTATATCTATATATATATGTGTGTGTATATATATATATATATGAAATTATATTATCCCAGGGGGAAGCGTTAAGTCCGAGGGGAGGGGGGGGGGTAGAGTCTATTCTCTTTTGAGAAGAGGAGAATCAAGCGTTTCGCTCGAGGCATCCCCAACATGTTCTGCAAAACCTGCGCTTGGCTCACGGCGTTCGCAACAAACGAACATGTTCACTTCGCCATGTGGTTTGTCGGTCGGAATTCCAAAACAAACCAGCGTTTTGCCCGCGACTTTTTCACCATTTCACCCGCCGGCCCTATGCGACCTCGTTAGCTATCGCACATTAATCCGCTGGCTTGACAGGAACGTGGCATTGGGGAAAAGTTTACCAACTAGAGACATTTAGAATCCTTGAAGACAGATTGCTTGACTGCAGAATTTTTTGCAGTCAAGCAATTTTTCTGTTCCTCTCCTCCTCTTCCTTGTCCTCCTTGTTGATTGTGTGAGGCACCGGGTGATTAGTCACCAGATGAATCGAGCACCGGACGAATAGGCTGGATGAGTTTAGGGCACTGGATGGGTGACGGACCAGAGGGGTTCGGCACCGGACGAGCCCTGTTTTCAGCGTTCCTTCCTGGCTGCGCCTGTTTTCAGCGCTCCTTCCTGGCGTTTGCTGGTAAACGTGCGCAAGTTAGCGCTAGTTCATACCAGGTGTTTGTATTGCAGCGTGAGATAGCGTAAGTTCGCGTTTGATGTCGCGAGCGTTTCCGCTTGCTCTCTAGGGTCCATT